TACTGGTAAAATGATTCCACGAGACATTGTCCTTTTAACTATCTTCTTTTAACAACATCAATTAACAACATTATCCGTAAATCAATATTACGTTATTATTATATCGCACGTCATCTCTCATATTACTGCTAAAAATTAATTAAATTAATGTCAAAAAATACACTACATTTACTATATTTCTTAACATTATAATAATAAAATTTAATATTTCAAAACGATATTTTCTTTTTATATTAAAATCGATATTAGCCCGGTATATCAGAATCGAAATAATATAATTGATCAAGACATCAATTTATTAATATGTCGCTGACAAATATTAGAATAAATGTTAAACTTAAAAATTTAACTTTAAAAATTTAATTTTACTTTAAAATTTTATGCTACCATATAATAATATATTACTAAATATTTCTCAAAACTAAATGAAATGTATAAAAAGAATAATTTTTTATAAAATTAAAATATTTTATTATTTCTTAATTAGAATTCTCCTTTTAGGGGTATTTATTTCCTAAATTTCTTTCGTCGCCATAATTAAATTTTTAATTTCTCAAATCCGCATTCAAAATATCCGCATTCATATAAAAAGATATATATCTTTTATATTAAGCCACTCTGCAATTGTGCCGAGCTCATTACTGTCGGGGAGGGCATTTGCAAACGTTCCTTTATAAGAGAACATTTTTTACATTTTTCTCAAGAATAAGAAAGCGGTAGCTTAGCAAAAAGGCACCGTAGAAAGGGCCACTGTTGAAATTCTTAATGCGGTTGGTCGCGGAGGCAACTCCGCGATGATCAGCAGCAGAAATCGCGGAGCGAGGAACAGTGCGGGCTTCGCGCTTCAAGGAAATGTAACGCGATAGCGTCTACTTGGCTACGACTCATAAAACTACTCGGTTTATGCTGATGGTCTTCATTCCGGAGACATTTTTACGGAAAAAAAAGGGCGGGAAGGTCACGAGTAACAGCACCGGCAGCAACGATGTGTAGGTGGGCAGACATCGAGCGAAAAGAGAACGCGAAAATCGAGGTCTAATTGAGGGTAGAACTCGATCCTGTCGAAATGATTTTGGGCTCGTAACCAAGCCCAAGCCGGCAGGTGTTATCCGTGTGAGATTATTCGTTCTTACGAGCGAATCCCGCTCGATCTTTCACGGGTGACCTACTACTACGTGGCTCTTTACTTCGTCCCCGTTTCCGAAAGGACAGCACAAGTCCACGTCCATTCGACAGCGACTCTGCAATTTTCAAGTGGTCGCTTTTATCGCGAAAATGCAGATGCTATTCGCATGAAAAATGACGCACGAAATATTATACGTCTTTTTTTATTACGTACTATCTTCGCAATTTTTCGTAATAAAGAAAATGTCGTAATGTTGCAATTATAACAAAATGGCAACAATAACGCAGTTTTTTTTTCAAATGTATTTATTACATCTTGTAATTTTCGGTAAAAAAAAAAGATGTATTTCGGTACATTAACAATTGCGGCGTACTTAATCGCGGTGTACCTACAGGAATCGAGATACAAAAGCTGCGTACGGGCGCGCCAGATAGGAAGCAACTAAGAGGATTAGTAGCCAAATGGCTGGGTGGCTGAAACTGAAACAAATATAGTAGCACTCGCGAGGGTACCGTAAGTTAAATGTAATTATACGACCCTAAGTACTGCGTAATTACCAACGACAGAAAAAAGCTAGGGGGAGGCTTCAGCGTGCTCTGAATTTTATCTTGCCTATCCAATTCTGATACTCGAGAGCGATTTCAATGTGTTCCGCCCAAAATTGCGATCGGCCGCGCAAGATCGGCTGCCTAAATTGCAAGAAAAGGATACGAAATACGAGGGCAAGTCGTTAAAAGTTGAAGACGCGTTAGCGCCAAACTGTTTCGACGTAATGGCCAAAGTTCCCACCGTCTCGCCCCGTTTCCGTCGTGCACCTTTATTATTTTATATTTCGCGGCATCGCACACCAGTTGGAGATAACAGAAATTATACCTGCATTTAAAAGTGGAACAACTGTTAGAGACGTCGCGAAACTTTAATACTGCGGCGATATAGGGCCGATTTCATCTTCGCGAAAATCCAGACCACCTTTCGCCTCCGAGTCTAATTCCCCGCGAGTCTGTGCACGTGTTTGACTTGCGTCGACATAGACGGAGTCACACAGACATTTAGATAGAACTCGGTATAAGGTAGAAATGAGAAATAGTTCTTCGGATAATTATAGAAAATGAAACTAATACAATCAACCGGAGAAGAGCAGGATGCTAAGAATGTCGAGACCTTCATTATTATTTCTATCGTTGCTTTCTTCGTACAGTTCAAAGTTTGAAGATAATTATTAAGTATAGAAATCTTACACAATAATTACCATACAAAAAAAAACAGATCCTTCATCTATGTCTGACATAAATAGAAGAATATCAAGAGTACATCTGTCACATATATATTGTCATTTTGTGACCTTGTGCTATATCACCCACGTGTACCATTAAAGGAAAGGAAAGTCTATTTTAAGTTAAATGAAGAATAAAAATTACCCACATTCAGCAATTCTGAAAGCAATCCTTAATTCATAGAAGAAATCTTTATTTTCCATTACGCGAGCAATACGGGTACGTTCCACCATAAGGACTTTCGTTTTACATTTAAATAAGGAATTCCCCCTCCCCCCCCCCCGTTTCACACGCCACTCACGAACCACCCCGGAAATATGGAACCGTGCGTATAGATTATGGACTGTGAAATACGTGCGTGGGGAGCTGCTCTCAGACGGCTCCGAATATCAACGGGAATCGGCGAGCACCGCGAGAGAGGTAAATACGAAAAGCCCGATGGTGGTCGTGCATGGCGTAGCGAGGCGTTTCTTCGCATGCGTCATCTGGGTGTACCTCGCAATTGCGGATTAGCGGAGTACCGAATCGGTTTCATCCCCTTGGCGCGTCTCCACCGTCCCTACCTGTCGCGGCCGACTTGTTACGAGCACGTACAAGCGCATTTCCTCGAGCGTCCGGCAAACACGCACGGATGCGGCGCGCGGCACGTACGTAACGCGCAATCCGCCCGCTACACGCACGTATGACCGTATATAATATAGTGGCTCCGCAGCGTCCGTAATGTAATCACACAATGACACAATTAATCACTGGACCATCCAACCCCCGCCAGGCCATTAGCGATTGCGACACACTCAGGCTCGCCGTTGATAGGCGGATGCGATTCTGCATATTCGCGTTCGTGCATATACCGTGCGTGCACGCACACGCGCGCGCGGAAGAATCGGAAAGTGCACTGAGAGAGAGAGAGAGAGAGAGAGAGGAGGGGGGAGGGATCGACGCTCGTTAGGATCTTTTCCCTCTTCCTCTTCTCCTCCTCGATTTTCCGCGTGGCTCATGTACGTGATTAATTGGTGCCATTGTGTATCGCTAGATTATTATACGGCGTGGCATGGATCCCATCGATCCCACCGGGCGACTGATTGGTTCCGGTGTCGCGAAATCTGTTTCATAGATGCATCAACTAACTACGAGATATATATACTAACGAGGCGCGGCCTCCTCGTTCATTTTTAATTAGGAGTCACTTACCTTCAATCGAGACGGAAAACTCACAAAGATCGATAAATGTATCAATATTAAAAAAAAAAAAAATATTTTCGTAGAATAAATCATAGAATACACGCAGAACATTAATATTCTTTGTGTAATGTTTTTACGAATAATGGCTTTATAGCGATTAATACATTGATATAACTGTTTTTAAAAATATAAAAACATAAGAATATCAAGCTATTAAAATAAATCCGCTTATAGATATTGCAAAAAGAAAGAATAGATTTTTACATACTTTTATCTTAAACTTTTAATTAAACTCTCGATTGTATATAAATAAATATATTATATAAATATTTTGAACAAACTAATATATTAACATAAATATATACTATAGATATTATATATTTAAAATTAAAACCTATAGAGTGTATATATTTTTATATGCCTATATTTCTAAAGCTATCAAACATATTTGCCGACATAAAACATAATTTAGCAATTTAGTAATTGCTCATGACAAAATTTTCCTATCAATTTCCCATCACTCAATTCTTTCTCTTCAATAAGAGAGAAAGACGCGTGCTACCTCGCGCGATTACGCAATTCTGACGCAAAGCTATTCACGTAAAGCTTGTAACGTGTATAAGAGGTATGCAATGCTGTCAAATTGCTTTCACAGTTAGCAAGCTAGGAAAAGGATACGTGGTTTCGAGGGATAGTGTGACAATAATATTGCAAACATGAATATAAATAAGATGTCAATAAAAGAATTATAAATGTTGGCCAGGAAATAATATCACAATTTAAATACTTTACGTAACATAAAATACATAAAAAAAATCCTTTATTCGTCTACAAATTTCTCAATTTATTGGAAACAATTTTTTTTCAAATTTTGGCAATTTTCATGTTTAATTAAATATCTATCGAATTGCATCACAAACGTTTCTGATAAACGTGATATTCGAATAAATATCCCACTTTACGTTACTTTTTTTAAAAAATAGAAACATGAACCCAACATGGAAAATATGCAATTCTCGTAACTATAAAATAACATCAAATTATATACATGACTTCTAATTGATGTAATTTAAAATTTTCATTTTATCGCGTACATATGATAATTATTTATTATTCTTAAATCATATACAATAATTTGTAAATTAATTATAACATACTGAATAGTATCTAATTCAAACTTCAAAAATATCGAATTTAATAATATTAATTTTGATAATTAAATTATTGTAAAAGGAATCAACTATTTTTCACATAATTTAATATCACAATTATTTTTTTGAACTAATATACATATATCTTGCGAAAAAAATATACTTTATTTTCTCTCTCCATATCCCACTTAAAATATGACAATCTAAAATACATATAAAATACTTTATATGTACATTAAAAGAAGTTAGAGTATTCGAATGACTCACACTTATCGTCGTCGATTTTCGATATTGGAAATTTGTACCCTCTATCCTCCGTGTAGCGTCGAGATGAAGAGCACCCTGTCCCGCGGGCACAGTTTATAATCGCCTTCACCCTGAAATTATATTTCTTATATCTCTGATCAATCGAGCGGCGCGAAACACGGCTGAAACCTGATATATAACGACACGACAAGAAATAGATAAACTTCAGGAAAATATTTTATCTCGTGTACATCGAACAATATATTCTTGAAAAATTTGAAATCGACTTTGTCTCGATCAGAGTCTGTTACATAACATTTTTAGGTACGATTTTTTATTAAAAGATTTTATTATATAAATATCTGAAAAAAATAAACATCAATCAATACTTTTTAATATCATATTTAATTCTCAAAATTCTTTTGCAACTCTTTTTGGTAAAATTCGTTTGAAACTATCAAAATTTCGTCATTTGCATCTCGAAAGCTTAAGCTATGAAAATCCCTTTATGGGATCCAATCATTTATAACTCAAAAAGTATTTACGCCTCGATATTCCGTATTCAAGGAAAAATCTGATTCGAATTGGTCAATGAATTCGTAGATGAAAGGAAATTCGATGAATCTGGGACGCCCTATATACGTGCCTGCTATCAAATGAAGACAGACTTTGCGAAGATTTCATCTTTAACTTCGCGCTCGGTAACCTTTTAACGTCCCTTAGCTATCGATAACGAAGGATATCCATTACGTCGTACATGCGAAAGGTTCGAAAAAGTTCGGCTAAGACGTTCACGAGCGCGACTGTGTTATGAGAAGAAAGGGACGCAAAGGGTGGCGAAAGAAGCGGGCGTAAAGGGAGACGGACAACACGTATACTGTGTGTATATGCGCGTTGAGAAGCGAGCCGAGCGAAAAGACGCGGAAACGCAAAAGCCGAAGCCGTGAGCGGAGAGAAGCTTCGCCGAGGAGCGGCGGTATTATCATAATAATGGCCAGAGCCATCATCTTTTCCCTCGTTCCGACGCTTTCCGACGCCGCGGCATCTTCCCGCTCCGAGCGTTACGCGCGTCTCTCCTCCTAATAGCCGCGGCGTGCACATTTACAAATTTAAAATGATAATTCTCTCCGTGGGTGTGGCAAACCGAGGTCATTTGCGCCCTTTCAGCGAAGTCGCTCCGTTATCCCGCACCCTCTATCTGTCGCGCAAGCAGCGACGACGACGACGACGACGACGACGACGATGACGATGGCGGCGGTAGTCGACAGGCCGATTATGCCGTTTGTAAAAACCGGTCACGGGGTATCCCGTTTGTCAGACGCCAGAAACAGCCGTGCGTCACCCGCCGCGGGGGATGCGATGACGACGCGGGGGAAGAAATAAATCGCGCGACGAGAGGTATCGTCCGCTTCTGTGCCGTGTCCGCTTCTTCGCGCGTTCGAGATTAGTATTTTATAAATACGTCGTGCTCCGCAATCTTTCGACAAAAAAAAAAAAAAAAAAAA